GTTCCGCTGTGACGTTCAACAAGTACTACTCTCGTGTTCTGAGTCCTGACAGTCACGTGTGTGGAATGTTTGGGGTCATTGAAGAAGTGACATAGAAGTGAAGAACAGCCAGATTCCGCTATATTACTTTTGGTCCCGAGTTGTTACCGAATAGAGATTTGGAATTGCTTAAAAGCGTCGGCGGCGTATGAGCTGCGTGTGCTGTCAAAAGGATGCCTTTATTAATGAGCTAGCCGCGTCTTTGCTGTTGGCGACAAAGAAGATCACGCCACAGAACCCTAACCCTAAGCCCACTCTGGCCGTCCTTGCCGCAGACCATCCGATGCTCCCCGGCTCGTGAGGATTGATCTCGATTCCAGCGGGGGCATGGCTTTTTGGACGGAAATCATGGATCCATAGCGAACCGTGAAAGTTGCCATCTAGAAAACCACACCAATGTCACCCCACAGCTGGCTCCTTGTGCAAGCCTCAAGGGATCATTTTATCCCCTCGGCTGTAGCCCCGCAATTCCCCGCACCATCCATCACGATGCTGGACTCTGGTGCTGCTTGATTCTCCAATGTTCATCTCATTGCTTTCATCGTCAACCGCCCATCAGAACTTGCGTGCCCTTCACCCGCTCGCTCGGAAACCACAATGTCCGAACCCGACACCAAGCGCGTCAAGACCGCCAACGAAGCTCCCTATGAGCTCATCTACTGGCCCGGCATTCCGGGGCGTGGCGAGTTTGTCCGCCTTTTATTTGAGGAAGCTGGGGTTTCGTACACTGATACCGCCAAATCGGGCGGAGATGCTGTCCCGACGGTTCTCAAGCTCATGGCTGCTGACAACAAAGGTGATGACGTGAACCCTCCATCATTTGCTTGCCCAGCCCTCAAACACGGCGACTTGCATCTCTCCCAAACACCAAACATTCTCCTCTATCTCGGACCCAAGCTTGGCCTGGCTCCCACCGAAGGTAATGGCATCTACCACATCAATCAAATAGCCTTGACCATCCTGGACTGTTTCTCCAATGAGGTCCATGACACGCACCACCCTGTCGCTCTGTCGGATTACTACGAGGCCCAGAAGCCCGAAGCCAAGAGGCGAGCCAAGTCGTTTATTGGCGAGCGGCTTCCCAAGTTCCTTGCCTATATTCAGCGCGTGCTGGATGGAAAGGCGAGCGGAGACGGCCCGTGGTTGTACGGCGGGAAGCTGACATATGCCGATTTGGTGCTTTTCCAGGTTTGTTCCTATTCGTAGCGAAAGGCGGCTTAGAAGGAGAGACTGATATAAAACAACAGGGCATTGATGGAACGGAATTCGCCTTCCCCAAGACGATGAAGAAGATGAGAGATTCCGGAAAATACGACGGCGTGTTCAAGCTCTATGAGGCTGTCAAGGAACGACCCAATATCAAGGAATATCTTGCCAGTGATCGCCGCTCCCAGTATTCTGACGGTATTTGGAGGCATTACCCGGAACTGGAGGAGGACTAGCCGCCTATTGTTGCAGGATGGTGCACACGAGTCCACATGCAAGTCTCTAGACTAGTTCAAAGAATACTTCGAGACCCGACCGGACGTGCTGTCTTCCCCTTTGGCCATGGTTTGAGAACGGCTCACTGTTCTGCTGGTTCTTTGCATTGTAAATCACGAGGGCGACAACATCCCCCAACACATGGCCAATTTGCCGACAGCCAAGCGTTTGATATGGAGGGAGACCAACCCGATACACATCAAATAAAGTCCTGTCGTTGGCCGTGTTAATGAGAATTGACACTTGAGCTCCATGACTTAACTGTGACATCTACCATTTCCTACAGACCAATTTTCAGGCACGTGTCGCCCATTCATGAAATGAGCTTCCTCACTCGCAAGCCACGGCGCAGTGCAGCGCCAGCTGACAGATGATGCCAGTCTTGCGGGTGAAGAGGCCTGCAAGCGAGATAGCCTAGCTGGTCCATCTATCGGAGCTGTGCCCGGGCAGGCGATTTGCGGCCAAGGCTACACTGGAGCAGAAATAATGGAGGACATTTGAAGGCTTGGGTCTGGTGCAAAAGTTTGTGACCGTTGACGTTGCCAGTCTAATCCTGTTTTGGAAAGCGCAGCCCCGCCACGTCTGTCAACTAGGCGTCATCAATAAACGCCAACTAGCGTGACGTCAAGGACGAAGCATCCAACATTGAACATTGAACACTGGGCTTCTTTAAATGGGCTCATCGCCGCATCGACACGTCCTGCCTGGCCTAGTCATGCTTGTCGAAGCAGCATTTCAAGACATCTGGGGCATGATCTAGTTCGACTGCAACTTCTTGCGTTGCAGCGTTGTCAACTTGTCAATATATCAACAATCTCGCTCCTACCGAGCCAGGCTCCCAGGCACAGGTAGTCACCATGGATTGCTTTGGATTATGCGGCTCAAAGGATGACGACGATGAGCGACAACCACTGCTGCCTCAATACAATCAAGACACGACGCGGCAAGATCGTCTGCATGAGAAGCTCCACACGTACCAAATGCTTCGAGCCATGTCGAATGGCTACATGCCCTCGAATAAACAAGTCATCATTCATCTGCGAGCCCTGTTATGCGCAAAAATTCTGAATCCTTCGGAGCAGAGCGCCCTCAGCAACTCGGGCCGCGCACTCATACGAACAACGCGACTATGGCTGCAGCAGTTCATGGATCTGCTCGAGCAGAAAAACTCAAAGGATCAAATCCAGGATTTCATCTGGTACTTGTCCAAGGCGAGGTTGGATGTGGATGTGGCAAATGTGAGGAAAAACATGTCCAAAAGCAAAGCCCGGGCGGATGTTTCTGCCACAGTCGAGAGCCTGCGCACCGTTGTGTCCCTGGCCATGTTGAACAGCGACTTTCGAGTATTTGTTGCCGACGCGGCCACTATTGCAAGACAGGTCCTCCGAGACACCGCCCTCGCGTTGGGAGACGTGTCGAAAGAGGTTGGCGACAAGCTTGACTCTCCAGGTGAGGACATGGAGGCTCTGAAGAAGACGGATCAAGACGCGCAGGAGCCTCCATCGTCGGAATATGTCAAGGACCAAGCAAAGGATGTTGGTGAAACTGCCTACAAGGAAGCTGCTCACGTCGGAGAGGAAGCTTATACAAGCTTTTCCGAGCATATGAATGCGGAAGCAAAAGACATCCTGGTGAACCGCCTCCGGAACGCCGTCACGAACCTACGGAACAGGACTGACTACTCCGAGTCTGTGTCAACTTTGTCTGGGATTTTGCAGAAATATCTCAAGATATACCTGTCCGTGGGATCGGATGCTGTCGATACGCTAGAAGGCAATCTTCAGAATAATACCCAAGTTGAGAATGCAGTCCACAACTTTTGGCTGTTTCTTTCTTCGTTTGGGGATGGCGAAAGCTGGGAAAAGGTCAGAGCATCATTTTCGGACTTTGCTGAGCACAATAGAACGGATGAAAACTTGGACGAATTTGTGAGCCAGTTTGTCAACCTGATTCAAGAAATGCTCTCAAAGCCCGAATTTTTCGACAACGTGGACGAAAGACTTGATGAATTACGTGAGCGACTCAAGGAGCTCACGTCTGGGTCGTCAATGGGCGAGGATGCTAGCAATTTGCTCCGAAGCATCCAGCAGGCCCTTCAATCCACGGCCGAGGACAAGGACGTAAAAAACATGACCTCGGCCTCGCTGCGCCTAGTCCACATTTTGTTCCCGTCGGGGGAGATGGGAAACCCGGATCTAGTCCGAGATTGCGTCAACACCTTCATACCGTTGCTTGTTCAGGCGGTGCAGTACATTCCAATTCCGCGGCTGGAAGTCTCAACACCAGCAATGGACTTGCTAATGGAAAATCTCATCCTGGAGCCGGGACAGACGGTCAACAGCAGCTCCTTTCTGCCATACAACTTGCAATTCTCAAGCCGCAACGACATTGACATTACCAAATCTCCATTTGGAACCAGTTCCTCGGTGGCTTCCCTCGTCACCATTAAACTGGCCGGCATGTCCATTGCAGCCGATGACCTCGGATACTGGCTCCGGCTGCATTCGGGCCTCCTTCGTTTCGTCGACGAAGGCCTGACCAGCTTCCACCTCGACCATCGCGGCATAGACGTCACCCTGGACGTGGAAATTGGCCGGGAACGACTAGAGGAGCTTGTCACCCTGCGCAGCGTGCACGTCAAGGTCCATCACCTGGAGTACTCCCTCCGCAAGTCCAAGTTCTCTTGTATCGCGTGGCTCCTCAAACCGTTTATCCGACCGCTTCTGCGGAAAGTACTCGAGACGCAGATATCGTCGGCGATTGACGAGGGGCTGAGAACACTGAACCGGGAGCTGGTGTTTGCGCGGGAAAGGCTTCGCGCAACTCGCGTGTGCAACCCCGGCGATCTCTGGACCTTTATTCGCGCAGTGGCTGCTCGTCTGGTGCCGCCGCCTGATCCCGACATTCACACGCGAGTCGGCGTCGAGCCCGGGAAGGGCGTCTTTCGGGGGCGGTACGCGCCGGGGAGCCTGGTCAAGGTGTGGGAGGAAGAGGCCCGCGACGCGGAGCAGAATATTTTTGAGTATCGCCAGGATGGCTGGCGTAATGGTATATTTGACGTGCAGACCACGCCGGTGGCGTAACGAAACAAGACGGATGGGCCGCTTGCGATGGGTATGGAATGCGGCAACACCAGAAAAGCTTTCGTTGAAGACGAAATATGTAGGATCCTGTCTGCAGCAGTATGTCCAAAAATAGGCAATATATGCTGCAGATATTACATGTACCGTGCGGAGTGAAGTAGAGGGAATGCCTCTGTTCAATGATACATAATACGTGAGCACCGTCGTATATGGCCCTCTGCCTATCGCTTTCGTTGCGATTGGTGTAGCACTTGGTCGCAACGGCAACGCGTAAAACCCAGGCTGAAGGACCAGTGCCGGTCAAGATGGCCCCTTGAGCCGGTCAGGCATATCGGATCATGCGACATTACGCATATTACACGACTCAAATACACTGCCATGTCGTGAAACGGAATCTGAGCGGCTGCCAAAGTCGATCCGTCGGGCTGCGCATCCTCCCGCAGAGGGCGGCGCAAAGGATAGTTGCGTGTCGGACGTCTGTTGCGGTTCTATTTGATGCCTAAATAGGACTCGACACCATGACTTCACCATCTGGTGGGATATGGCGTCGAGGGCCTGAAGATGGGCATCGCGGATACGGCCATTGGGTCGACTGACAAAGGATTGGCGGAAGTGCCAATGTAGGCAGAGCTGAACCGTCCTGCCCAGCTGAACAAGTCAATATGCGGTGTGAGTGATATCGCGGCACTCTGCCTTATCACAGTGAGACAACTTGCAAGGGTCTGCTGCTTGGCTTCTTGAGATACCACACGCTTGTCATATGTTGGCGATGCCCTGCCCGTTTAGGCTCAAACAGACTTGACGCTCTGAGAAGACGACTGTAAGAAGGCTTATCCAGTCACCAGCGTGGCGGAATACTTGTTCCTCTCACAAGGACGGAGTACAGATGTACTCGACATTTATAGCCTGTCGTTTCTCAAGTATTCACGACAAGGGAACTCAGCTGGGCGAAACTGTCGAGATGCCTGCCGGGAGTTGATTTCTGCTCCCTTGCCATGTGCCATTGAACATATAAGCTTCCCAGTGGTCGCGCCGCATCGTAGGGTAACACTGCATTTATATTTATGCCATGACTGTCTCACAGCACCAGCCACCGACCTCGCCGGCTTACCTTGCGCGCTGCTTCCCCGCGCTTTCATCGGTCTGGTTCGATTTGAACAAGGAGACGGGGACTTTTGGAACGCGGCATCTTCAGCTCGTGCCCGTGGAAACTCCAAAACGGGAATCGCGGCTGCTATAGGAGCAGAAATAGCCCATGGGGGCGGGAGCTGTCCAGGTCACCGAGACGGGAATTTTTGCGACACGTCAAAATAACGCAAGCAAAGATGGGCAACAGAGGACCTACCCATCAGGTGAGTTCTTTCACACGCAAAGCTGTCGATGCGCAGCTTTGTACCTTGACATCCTTTGGCAAGGCTTTCGTTGCGCGGTTCTCGCCAACTTACACGGGCAAAGGATACAACATCGATACCATGGACGGCAACCGCGACGACGCCTCCGGCATCAGCCGCTCGAAACGCAGCCTCGCGTCGGTAAATACGCCAGCGGGCAGCGGCAACGACGAGCTCGACAAGACAAACCAGCCCGACGCGGCAAGCACCAAAGTCGGTCCTGAAGATGCGGCAAAGCAAGAGAGGGAGAATGCGGATCCGGAAAATATAAAGGCTATTAGCACCGTGGATGAGGCTGAAGGCGACTACGATGTCAGAAAAGAGAACCATTTTGGTGAAGCGGCGATTATCGACAACGCAAAGGACTTGGTTACGCACGTTCTCCACGTCGACGATGAACCATCTGATTCTCCGTGGACTTTTCGGGCGCTCTTCATTGGTAACGTGTACCGTCTCTGTGCGCAAGGCGAATGGACGCACCGCTAA